GTGCGGCTCTCTAGCAAATTGCAATAGATACAGCGACGATATGAGTTTAGAAATTGCCGCTTCCATAAGGATAGGGGTTAGATGATGCATGCAGGAACAAACATATCATGCAGTTGGTCATGCACAGGGCAAACACTTACATCCAGAAAACCGCACAAAATCCCCTCCTTCGGGAAGAATATTCCACGATGGATCTTGCAGTATCTTGCTTGTCCCAGATTGATTTTCCACGGGTTTCGCAACATTTCCTGCAGGTACGCTTTTCCTCTTATTTACCGCCTTTCCCTTTCTCTTTACCAAGCCTGCGTCGTGTGACGCAAGTGGTGGCCTACAGCCCTTAAGAGAATCAGATTCGTTCGCCTTCGACAAAGCAGCAATCTTCTCTGTTAGTTCGTTGACCTTCGCTTGCAGCTCATGAATCCTGCCGGCGTTCGCCTCGGATCTTTCCCGCCAGAGCTTGCAAGCCTTGATATGCCGTTGCTCTGAAGCCGGATTTAGAGCCCGTTCTCCCGAGGAAGTGTGCGAGCGGAGCAGAACAATGAATTCTCTGATAGAAAGGGATGGTGGCTTATTTTGAAGAAGTTTGATTGCCAGTGCTATTCGGGCAGGGGAATCGAGGCGGGAGGGCTTGGATGAGATGCTAAGAGGGGTAGTAGGGGGCGTTGTTGATGACATTGTTGGATGGAATTGCAAGTCGGGAATCGGGATGCAAAGTGATATCTCAAAAGTTGACATGTTGACACGCAACCGATTATGCAGGGAAGGTGCACACAAAAGCGAAACATTAAAATCGATGCGGTCCGCGCTTGGGGTCTTGATCCGGGAAAAGAGGGAAAAATACTACTGAGGAGATATATGCCACTTAAAGACATAGCAATATATAGCAGTATATCAATATCAAGGAATATATTAAGACTGGACTCGCAAGAAGAACTTAATTTCCCCGGGAGGAGTTATATTGCCAACAATTTCTTACATATTGTTTTTGAGAATTAATTACAACATAGGTAAGTCAAGTCCTCACTCAGGATGCCGATATAGCAACAATCGCAGGCCGAAACCGTCAAATATCAGCTTACGAATCTAATGGAGAGTGCAGATCTCCCGGATCTCCCCCGGTGTCTCGTCAGCCCTGATTGACTACACCCCGCACCCCGCGCTGCACACTGACAAGGAGCCCAGCCGAGTGACCCATCATGAGCCATGACCATGGCAATACACGTTTCAGATACATACATGTACATGTAGATAAGAACGGCATGGAACACACCTACATGGCACCGCCATGCAAGTGGTCAAACCGATAACGTCCAACTGGTTTCATCTGTGCCTCTCAATCAGCGAAGCGATAGAAGCTTGATTCTAAAGACGTTTCTGTCAAGGTTATGATGTATGTAACCCCCGCCTTGCCGGCCGCTATGAATCTGCCTACTGATATGCAGTCAACCGTAATAACTACAACCGTCCTTTCGTCATCATTCGATGTTTGCTTTATGTATCGAGAAATCTCTGCCGCGGTGAACGGCAAGGCTGAAAAAAAAAAAAAGAAAAAAAAACTGTTCATCTCTCTATCCGCGTCCGGATGATAAGGCGAAAACCCAAATCCGTCGAACTTTTGGGGTTTAGGGGATACTGGGGCATGTCCCATACCAACTACCTTGAAGGTGCGCACTACTCACGAGGGCAAGGCTGCGCCCAGGTCCTTCACTCGTGGGAAACTCGTGAGATGGAAATTCAACCGGTATCGTAGCTCAACTCCACATGTCTGCTCCTCAAGTAGCGCGTGCACGCTAACATGTAAGTGACTTGTAGTTGAAGTGACAGGCTCGGTACTAGGCTCGTCCCCAACCCCTCTACTTCCATGCTTCCAGAGGACGGGCTGGTGCTATATCTCCCCGACTTGGGTGAGTTCTTTTTATATGGAGTGTCGGCTGTCGGGGTGGCTGTCGAGGTGGCTGTCGGACTCATTTACATACAAAAAATAAACTTTTTTTAGCTTCCGACATCAAAATTAAGGTTTATTCTGACCTCGATATCACATTTCGGGCTTTTATATCACAAGTAACGGGCTGGGTACGAGACTAGCTCGGTACACACATCCGACTATGCTTATAACAAGCCCCCCTTTAACTTTTGCATCTTGAGGATATATACTATCGGAGCCATATCGAGTCGGAACCCACATATTGCGGAGTGCAGCAGCTGCAGTCAGGGTTTACATACATGTGTTTTGTTCTCGCCACGTGCGGACCAAAAAAACTTCGGGGGAAAACAGTTACCGGATGAAGCCTGCCTGCTTGGGGGCTGTGCCTCGCCTTTATCTGATGTTAAGCGAGCTGCCTGTCTGAAGGAGTCGCAGCCCACTGCAGCCGAGGTGATTATTCGATTCGTTCGATTAATGACTGAATCCAGAGACCATACACTCTAGACGCTAGGTACATACTCTGCAATACTACCTACTCGCGACAGGCATGAAGTACCCGAATATGCAGCTGCAAGTTTTTGGTGTATTTTTGACTTCTACTCCAATGGAAATTGCAGATTAGGACGTGCATTTTCGGGTACTTGTTACCTGCTGCGAGTACTAGGTAGTAGAACGCCCTGTGGAACTACTCAGAAAATCATACGATATATATTCTAATCCATCACTACATGTACCACGTATTCATGGCCTTTTCTAGGAGGCGTTTTCCTTTCATTCGATTGATACATACCTAGTACAGTGAAGACGTGCTTATTAGCCGGAAGTCCATATCAATCGATACTACTCAACTTTAGCGCTTCTATGCAGGGGGCAACACGTGCATTATTGCAAGGCATGGTATTGCAAATGAAAAGAAACAAACTCTTCATGCAATATATATCAGGTACTATATGCAGGTCCAGGAAAATTTGCAATTGAGAGAAGTCGACTTGTTTTTTCCCACGATACGGTCGTACGGCGGCAGCCCGTCATCGATAACCGCGTCCTATGATGGGACTACCACCGGCGGCTGAAACTTACTGTTTTGAATTTTCTAGTAACTGCTATGTAGTACAACTACTGAAGTTTTCATCTCCGAAATTTTTACGGTGCAATTTTAGCTCCTTGGAATCTAGTTATCGGGCAACACCCAGATCTAGAATATTCGATTGCCCATCTCCAGACTACTTTAACATCATCTTTGGAGTTCTTGTGACAGGTCAGAGCAGAAGAGAAAAAAATAGCTTTTTTCATGGGATTCATCGTCGCCGTGCATTAGTTATAGCTTAGGCAACGGGGGCGTTATATCAAAACGGAAGGTTATAAGTAGGTTCTCCGCCATCTTCATGATAAATTACTGCATTCACTTAGTGATTAGTCCGGTGATTGTATTCTTGGTTGAGTAAAGAAACGTGATTTCTCTTACCTGACATGCAAAAAATTTCAGAAAGAAATTTAAAGCGGCACTTGAGCGACATTCCCCATGGCGATCTTCAGGAACGTCTCCTATCCTATTGTTAACTGTTCACTTAAGCTTCAATGATTTACAATGTTTGACATTGTTTGGTCGCTACAACGCTCGGGTGATGTCCGGTTGGTGCGCTTGATATTCCCATGTAATAATATCACGTCAACGCACTCCAACCTATCCCCGACACCGACAACCCGATTTCAAATTGCTTGTGAGACAGTGATTAGACGTTAATATTTTTTTTTCTAGAAGCTGACTATGGACCATAGGATGGCAGTGACAGTACATTATTATGTATGTCTTGTTTTATTTTGTGGTGGAGAAACAGCGCTACACATGTAGACTGCAGCACCGTTTGATATGTGAATGGTGATGTGTGGAAAATGGCTCTGTAAGAAATGTGATTTATTGGTATTAGAACAATTCACAAGACCCCCCGAGAGAAGCGAGGACTGTGCGGTGGTGCACCGGAGGCTTTACTTAGAAGTTAGGGGCACCTGCCAAGAAACCGGGGGGCCACGAGAGGCGATTTTATTAACCAGAGAGGCTCAAGAGCTAATGGAACGTCTGAGTGGGATTCGCCAAAGCTGGTGGACCGTGATGGGCCCAAATTTAACTGATGATAAAGGCAATCCTATTGATAAGATGGTATCTGCTACTTTCGATCTAAAAATCGTGAATGCTAATGTTTTATTAGACAGCCGTCGTCAGATATTAGAGGTGCAAATGATCAAAGTGCAAGTCAGGTACGGTAGATAGTTCGCTGCTCGGGTGGTGCTGCAGGTAGCGGTTGGGTTTTGTGCGGTGCAGGCTTGCCGCCCTGCGTCTGCTGCACCTCGCCAAAAGGTCTTCTACCACCCCCCACCCGATCAGGTTCAGGCATCTCCTTCGCATTTTGTTCCTGTTTGGCATCCCTGACTGTTCCCAGCCGTTCGGAATAGGTATCCAAACAGTAGTCTGAATGTTGTAGATAGTGTGTCGCTGGGGTTCATCAGCATCATCGTCCATCATCCCTCATCCCTTTTTTCTTTTTTGTCCCTCTTTTTGACTGTCTGTTACTCCCCGAAATTCACTGTGAGTAAGTCTGGAGCTCTCACAAAGCTTTGTCTGTTCCCGCGTGTCTCTGCACAGTACCGAAAGTCCCCCTTTTAGGTACTGGCTAATCTTCTCTCCGGCCAATTGAGAGAGGAAAAAAAAGTGACAGGGTCATCGTCGGCCAGCTAGGCGGAAGAGACTGTTGTGAAAATTCTCCTTGTCAGATCTCCTTCGGCACCTGTCTTCGCTCGCTCTTACATACACTCACTTCCCCCTCCGCGACATCGTGTGCCCGCGGTGGCTTCCCTGTTGACATATTATCGAAACGAAATCCCCACCCCCTCCCGTGGTTGTAGTGGCTACTACTTGGGCACGCCAAAACCAACCAAATTCTACCCCTGAGGTGATCCCAGGCAACAGGAGCATAAGCATAGACTTATTACGACCAACCTACGGAAACAGTTATATACATCTATTCCGCTCGTTCCATCGCCCATCCAGTAGCTTTACTATACCAGAGAGAGCGGCATCATGTCGCTCAACGGATTGGATACGCCTGAATTGACAGAGGCATTTGCAAAAGCATGCGCAGAGCCTGGAAGCTGGTACGTCAACTGTTTTTTCTTCTTCAATATATACCTTTCTCAACCCTGGCTTGATAATGGTCAATCACTCTATGGAGGGGGAAAATGCTCTTCGGTGGAACCCGTCTACAGCTCTTTTGCTGACAGGTATTGTGCTCACTTTGTAGGTTTTGGATTAAATACACCTCCCGAGACGATGTTGAGCTTCTGTGTCAGGGAATCAATGGAGCGGAGGAGATGCGAGAAGCAGCAGAGAAGGAGCCAGATGATTCGCCGCTGTATGGATTTATTCGATTCAGGCGACGAAATATCTTGATCAAGTATATCCCGGAGGGAACTTCGCGGGTTTTGAAAGGTGAGTCGCTACAAAGATTAAAAAAAAAAAAAAATCAAAAAAAAAACCTCATTCTCCGTTTACGGAATAATAACATTCCTTAATCTTCACAGCTCGATCACAGGTACATTTTCAATCCGTTGCTGAAAGGTTCATTCCAAACGACACTACATTCTCAATATCGACTCCTAAAGAGCTACGCGACAATGCATTGACGTCAGCATGCTCGACGCATACTGCAACTGCTTCGATATCTTCTTCGAATAGTTCTCTTCGAGCGCGTCGTTTAACGGATATTGCCGAATCTGCAGATGAGGAGGAGCCGCCTACAGCTGTAATGAGCGCTGGTTCGCCGGTGACATTCGGTGAGATCGATGGAAAAGGGAAGACTAGTCAAGGCTTGGCGGTGGTGATTACCGCACATGATTCGTCAATAACAGATGGCGGACCTGGCTCACCCGTCTTTCTCGATGGGGACAGGGACCTCTTGGGGTCCCCCCTAGGCGCCTCCTTTTCGAGAGACTCACTTGAACCCAGAAGAAAGTCAACAGGTACCTCACCCAGACCTTCTTCAACCGATTTATACGGACCGTACATATACACCCCTAGAGAAAAGGTTCGACTTGGACCTCGTCCCCACGTCGAGCCCGTAAAACGGCCTCATACCTCTGGTGAGCGTCCGAAAGCCTTCCCTAGCCCCGACCAGGAAATTCGACCCGTGGTCTCGGTTCCTAAATCTGTTCAAATTCCTCCAAGAAAATCCAAAGAATCAAGGAATAGGTCCTTGTCCAACGAATCTCTACGATCAGAGCAAGATACAATCTCATTTCTCTCAATTGAGATTGAGGACTCACCACCTCCTTCACCAAAATCACTCTCGCCGGTTCCCTCACAAGAGCCTGCCCTTACTCCTGAAAAGCAGAGGTTGATGAGAGCTTTGCAGCTGAGGAGAAAAACAATGCAACCTGAACTGAAAGAGCAATCGAGACGGGATGAGGAAGCCGCCCTAGAGATCCAAGGTATGAAGGAGTCAGACGAAATTAGCACCATTGCAGAAACTGACGAGGATGAAGACCGAGAGGAAGGGGAAAGTGGGATTGTATCCCAGAAGATAGTCGAGCCAGATTCAAACGAAGCTATCGGAGGACAAGAGGGGGTAGATGTGCTCGAGGAAAGTTCCCGTGGAGACGCGGTGAATGAAGGGGTAACACTGGATAGGGTAAACGAGCAGACAGAAACGGGAGATGCAACAGAGGACTTGAGGGAGCAGGATGATAAACTACCGGAATCACCAGTAGAACTACAATCACCCGAAAGTACAAAGGTTCGAGGCGAGCCCGATTCCGATGTTGACACTGAATCCGATCACACCGAAATTTCCATCATGACGGATTCTAGACCCGTAACTATGACAGCTATTCAGCAACCTATCCCTAGCATGATTAAAAGCAGTTCTCGCTCACACCCGACCAAACCCCCGTCACCAGATCCTTTGGCACCAAAGGTGCTCAAGAGAACTGATCGTCCAATTGAAAGCGAGCCCATAAACGAGCCCCCTGTTCCTGAGGCAGCCCGTTCTGTTTCTGCACCTTTCTTGAAACCGACAGCTCCCGCAGCTGGACCAAGAAAAGCTGTAGGCGGTGGGGGTGGGGGTGTGGCACAGCGGATTCGACAGCTCGAGATGTTGTCAGTTCAGAAAGCTGCCGCAGCAGCAGGGAAATCACCCCCTGTGAGCCGAGGCAGCTCCCCGACACCGCCGATTCCACAGTATCACCCGAACCGTCCGTCTAGTGTACATGTCCCAGTCGCGTTGCGTAGGATGTCTAATCCCCCTGCTCCTCTGCGGCCAACATCATCGGTATCGCGTCCATCCACTCCCAACACTTCTGTCTCAACTCTTGGGAACTCCTCTGGGAGTTTCACGTCCTCGTTACGATCAGTTATATCAACGCCTTCACTTCCGAAATCAAGCCCGCCAAAATCAAGTCCTGCTCCCAGGATGGAAATAATTGAACGCAATAACAGGCCCGAATTGCAAGTCACAACTCAAATCACCAGAGACGAGCAAGGAACTCCTCATCCATCATTCCAATCACCTCCAGCTCCAATTCCGGCTCCCGAGTCAGCTAAAAGCTTAAAAAGCCCCAATAGCTTCAGCCGGAGATCCAGCGTGGATATAACACCACAAGATCCAGTTCTGCGTAGCAGGAGTGTGGATGTAGCGCCCCCTCCAACAACATCTTCCAGAGGCCAAAGCATCGAGAGGGGTCGGGGTATTTTATCTAGATCATCAAGTTCAAGAGACTTAGAAAATCTCCCCGAGAAGATTCCCACACCCAGCTCCAGCCCTAAACCCACACCTACCTCCCCAAGACCGCCATCAACATACACGAACAGCTCGAAGAAGAGTAAGAAAGAAAAGGAAAGGCGTGGATCTTCTTCCAGCTCTGGGGGATCAGGGCCGTCTAAGGAAAAATCTAGATCCAAGTCGAAATCTCCGACAACCCCCAAGTCACCAAAGAGTCCTGGATTTTTGCAGAAAATGAGTGCGGCTTTAACAGGCAAGAAATCTAAGGAAGATGTGCAAGCCCCCGCTCCTGTAGCCCCCGCCGAGCCTGCGAAAAAATCATACCTCTTGGCTGGTTGGATAAATGCTCAACTTCCGGATACCATGTTATGGAGGCGGCGGTGTTTGAAGATAGATTCAAGTGGTTGGCTGTTCTTGTCTTTATCAGAAGATGAGGTATAATTCCTTTTATTCCCTTTAATTTGAGATTCCTCTGACGTATGAAACAGAATGCGCCACAAACTAAAAGATATCACATATCTACGGAGGTTCGATCGGTTGATTTACCAGATATGGATGAGCAAGAACTCCCCCACAGTGTGAGGCTTCATCTCTTTGAAGGCGGGACTCTGCAATGTGCTTGTCAGAACGCCAATGAGCAGAAAGAAGTATTGGGAGTGATTCGTGGTTGCATTGCATAGATGGCTTGCCCACTCTTCATTTCATCTCATTCTCTACTCATGCGTTTATTAAATGGTCGGAATTCTTAGTAGGGATTTGGTTGCAACGATATCCGACCATTTAATGAACGCCCGAGTAGCATCCAAAGTTATTCGTTTACATACACTGTTTTAGTTTTGCGGTCTTTTCTCGATAAATTTCAACCTTGTATTGCCAATACTTGTGGCTGCAAAAGAAACTGAATATTATAGACGATACTTAATGCTTCCCCTTCTAAAAAAAATATCTAGTATCCCTTTCGTTATCACTCTTTCAGCCATGTTCTTCTCGTTATACTCATTGTCACCATCGTGCCGGCTTTTTTTATTATCATCTAAAGATTCGTTATAAGGCAGGAGCCGTTGGGCATTTGGGCTCGCGGTTAGAAGGGTTGGGGCAATTACCTCCCCCTTTCCTTTATTCACTCTGCGATGCGCCCATATCAGGGGTGCTGTTTTTCATTTTGCCGTGGATTCGGGTTTATTCTTTTATTATTCTTTTTACAACTCTAGATCTACCTACTAGTTAGCGTGTTTTATTCTGTCTTCACTTCCTGTTTACTATGTTAATACCCCCGATTACCTCCCCATACACCCCTCCCTGGAGATGTCTTGCTATACTGCATTGTTTGTTTTCTTTGCTTATTAGTTCCGTTGTGTGCTTGATATCCCCCTTCGGTAGAAGATACCACACCCGTTTCCTCCACTCTACCGTCACGGATGGTTTGTGGGTAGGAGTTGGGGCAGCGCGATTTGATGATCGCAAGTTTTTTTGTCTTCGAGCGAATAAATAATCTTTGTTCGACCTAGCTTTCCGTTGTGATTCGAGCCATGTCCAAACCTGGTTCCATTGTAAATAAGCCTTGGCTTGGCAGCCGAACCTATATGCATGTGCCTCTGTTCAGGGTCCATTCAGGGTCCATTCAGGGTCCATTCAGGGTCCAAGTCGCACAAACCTTAAATCCACGTGCAAAGAACCCTCTCTTCGATATCATCTCCATCATCAAACGCAACTTCTAAATGGCAATTTCGGGGCTTCCCCCAACTGCTACTCCAGGTCAGCCATTGGCCTCATCAAGTCGTTATGTTCCCGGCACTGGCGTGCACATCTTTGATCGCGAAATATGTGCATCTATCGTTGGAATCCCGCAGCTATCCCCTAGCTCATCTTCAGGGCGTGAACAAATCTTGTCTGTTCTCCCTTGTACCGATTCCACAAATAAAAACGGGATTCTACCACAATTGGGAGCTATAATTTTGGGAAGGGTGACGAGGATAACCCACATTGAAGCTACATTGGCTATTTTTGTTGTGGGCGACGTAGTCTGCACTGATGAGTTTAAAGGTATTATCAGGTTTGTTACAAACGTCTGTAAGCTATGAGCTAGGTAAGCATCAAAAGCTAATATAATCGGGAATCCAGAAGGGAAGATGTACGAGCTTACTTGAAAGATAAAGCCAAGATTCTTTCCAGCTTTAGGCCTGGTGACATTGTTCGCGCTCGGATTGTGAGTGATATCCTGTCCCCTATATAATTCTTCCTGAGTAACTCGTCTAATTTATCTGTAGATATCACTTGGTGACCAGTCAAAATACTTTCTCTCAACTGCAAGCAATGATCTTGGTGTTATCGTCGCACATTCAGGTATGAAACCTAGCTAGGCCTCGATTCCCCTCGAGCCCAATGCCATCAACATTGGAGTTAATTTTCTGCCTTTTTGTTCCACGTATCTAACTTTATTAGAATCTGGCGATCCACTCAACCCGTTAAGCTGGCACGAAATGGTCTCACAATCGACAGGGGCGATAGAAGAACGAAAAGTTGCAAAACCGATGTGAAATAAATACATTCATTCATTAGTTGTCTTGAGATCTGCCATTGGGCGGGGGAGGGGGTGGATGAGAGTTAGCCTTGTGGTATATCTTCGAAAAAAGAAACAACATCTGGCTCTTCTAAAATACAAAATCAATGGAACCCACTCTCGAAATTATCGGGAAACCTAGATATGTCTTGCATGTGCCTGGGCCTTGAAACATTAATCTTCCAATTTTGAGCATGAGTGAATTAGTTTATATGGATATAGATATTTACATACATCTCAGGACTGTATACCACGTGCAATGATATGTAGATCTCGGGTTATCTCCGTTTTAGAACCATGATTACGAGTCGCCCAGTTAGCGTCTAATTAATCGCACAACTAACAATGCGCACGTTGTTGTTTGCGCACGTATGACTAAACCACCGTTTTAGGGTCAGAATTTATGATTGTCTTTGCCGTGAACGAATAGTGACGTCCGTCAGATCACTGTTCAAGATATTAATTCTTGAGAGTTAGCCTGTCGATGTTCTAGTATCACTGTATTGTTGTTGAAATTTTGTATATATTGTCTATATTTCCTATACCGCAGTAGCTATTCGGGCGTCGCGATCGCCCTGTTACTCACAACATGTATCTTCTGTGTGTATGGGTGCATGTAGAAAGCGTAAGCCTCCAAAACCCCCGCATCAAACGGCGTACTCCAGCCATTTTTTTCACAACTAAACGTATGTAATATTGCGCATGCGCATTCTTTTCTTTACAATGCATGTTGAGAAAATAAAATATATATCCCGGGCCGCAGAGCTAGTGCTTTTTACTCTGGTAACCACGAAATCTCTTAAGATCTTGTCGATACTACAAATTTCTTTCCCACTATAGTGCTATTAATTAACGGCCCCTACTGTATACCCAGAATTAAGTGTCCAAAAAGCTGAATTATGAGGATTCTATGCGTACATAGTACGGTGAATGATTTCATACTGGGACCCACATAAAGATAACCCTCTGTAGCTATATTAGTCAGGTATCGGTTTTCGAATTTCAATCCCTTTCTTCTTGTTTCCTAGTGCATGCAAGCATGCAGTCTTTTAATTAACCTGAACGCAATCAGTGAGTTAATTAAGAACAACAACGTACAAGTCCCTTTTAATTAACTATGACGACGTGTTCGCCGTATATAACGGTACCATAGTTTCATTCTCGATCAGCGAGTTGGGCATTAATTATAAATTGTTCTCACATAAGTATACCATGTAGTCATGTAGTTTGATTCAGTACTATTTCACATACATATGATGTACAAGGGTTCGTATATATTGCGCACGAGCTAGGGCGCTGCCTCATGCCACAACGCGCAACGCTGACTGAGCTGTCTCAGTATAAATTCTTCTAAGAATTTGACAATATATAAGTGAGCATCTCACTACATGTAATTGTAAGAATCAAATCCTTTACGATCATACCATTGACATTAGCGTTGTCTAGTAGAATTCACATGTCAGATCGAGACCCATTAAACCGACATCCCCATCTACACAAGCCTAACGCCAACCTTTACAATACCTGCCCTAATTATGATCCTGGGAATAACCCCGGACACACAACTACTATAGAGACTCCTAGAACTTCGAAAATGGAGAAATGGGTCAAAGTAAAAGTCCTCGGCGAAGGTTCATATGGAGTAGTATGGCTGGAGAAGGGAGAGCAAGGGGCGGTTCGGGCTGTGAAACAAATTTCCAGAGCAAATACTACCCTCAACCAACGAGAGCGACATGCCTTGACAGAACTGAAAGGGGTAAGGCTGTAATGGATCATTGATTTCGACATTGTATCTACTGATGCACAACTTTATGCTAATGCATACGCCATATAGTACCCCGACTCCTTTGTAGAGCTGTTCGAATCCGGATGCTATGAGGACCAAAATAACATCTACTTAGCGATGGAATACATCGAGCATGGCGACCTAATGGGCGTCGTTAAGAACCGTCAAGGCAGCATCTCTGAGAACGAAATAAAATCGATTACAAGGCAGCTACTCACTGCCTTAAAAATTATGCACAGTAAAAACTTTTGTCATCGTGACTTGAAACCCCAGGTAACACATTTCTCTCGGCAGGATACTTTTCTACTCATGTAGAAGTAATTAATATTTGAATAGAATATCTTGGTGGCCTCGATATCACCAATTAAAGTAAAAGTCGCCGATTTTGGCGTTACGAAGCAAGCCTCGGATAGCACCCAGCTACGAACGGTAGTGGGAACATGGGGTTACATGGCCCCTGAGGTCCTAGGCTTTTCTGATGCCGAGACCTCTGGGTACACAAGCTCTGCAGATATCTGGTCACTTGGGTCTTTACTGCACTTTATGTTTACGAATGAAGTCCCGTTTCCAGACAATCGAAAACTGATCAATTACGCTCGGGGGAATAACGCACAGTTTCCGACAGAAAAACTGCAAAAGTGGGGCGCGAGCTCGGCTGCAAGAGATTTTATTAAAAGCTTGATGAACCCTTGCCCGGAGAAAAGATTGACCGCGAAGCAAGCATTAGAAGCGTCATGGCTAAAAATTGATATCGATGAATCTGACCAGATCAGTCCACTTTCAGAAAGATCCTTACCAAACGCTCCCGAGCCTATGGCCAACAAACCAAAATTTAAAGGTTAGTCTCGCGTCTACATATCCAATCCTGCCTATAGTTATTCCGGTGTGAGAAACCCTAGAGATTAACGAATCATCCATCAGATTCTGGCAATTGGACGGCTGAGCCCGGCGCTGGCTACCCCAACAAATTTACATATCCATACGAATACAATGCCCAAGAGGAAGGATTCCAGAGTACGGCCTGGCTGACTGGAGTTCTCAACACAACGAGACGACCTCCGGATGTGGGAAATATACATATAGCCCCGTGTGGCTTTTTCAGCGCTGAACGATGGCTAGGATCGTGTGCAGAGGCTTTGTATTCTGGATCACAAGATCTAGAGGACGAATTGCCTTACCAATCGCACATATTCCCAATGACATTCAGGTAAGTTATGATATCAAACACTCGAATCATGCATGTATCCCGGGAGCTAACAGTTCCAGCAGATGGAATCAAGAGAGATCTTCAAAAACTATGCAATGGTCAAGAAAACCACGCGAGGTGACTTCATGCGGCAAGAAAACTGCAACTACAATCACAGAAAAACATTTTGCTCCAAGGGCAATGGGAGCGAAAGTCGTGAAAAGACAAAAGAATTGGACAAGGAGGCCAAGGGTCTTGTTCTATTATATAATGATGACTGTCTGAGCTTCTTTCAAGCAAATATAAAGGGGTAAAATATATTTAGTGTGAGGACTTGTGATCTCTAATCATATAACTTTCATATTTTCATTTTATTTTATTTTCATTTAAAATAGAGAATATTAATTCAGATTCAATAATTGAAGAAATTTGATAGCAAATCCACACTTTTGGCCCACAAAAAGGATAGTTTAATTAGGGGATAATAGAAAGCTAGGGGCCAGTTATGGCTCAATTGACTCATTTTAGTGGGTAGGTGTGTCAACTTGTATCTTGAATTCTCATTGGCCAAAATCGACTTTTAGCTTGAAGTATAGTTGTGGGTCGTTACTTGAGCATGAGGCTCTTCCTACAAGGGCTTATTGCCACTCAAATTGGCACACGTACCCACCCACCAAAGCGAGTTGAGACACAGGTGTAAGACCACTATCTGTAAGACAAAAGTTTCACCTGCCCATCCTCACAGCCGACGGAGATATCTGTCAGACCGCCGGGGAGGCTCTCAAATACGAGTTCAGAGCTATGTATTTACTGTTGATTATATATATATGATTACATATATATCCGGGTCCAGCACTTGAGTAGAAAATCCCAATCTAACTTTTCTGAAAAGGCAATATCAGTATTTCTAGGACGTGGACTATGATCGATGTGGTTATATCGCACTAGGAAATATTTGGTATATCGATATAGACTAATGTTAGAAAGTATATGACGCCTGTTAATCATGAATGAATATCCCAGGTACGTCTATATTCCCTGAACTATCGACATGAACGCCTTCTCGCATCACATTGCGCAGGCGATGAACACGCACTAATGATTCAATTATTACAAACTGAACACAGAATAAGGTGCTAGTATGAAGGCTTCCTCGTTGCTGAGCCTACAGGATCATATCACGCTTGAATTCTTCGGGACGCTCTTTGCAATTTGATAGACAGCGATAATAGTGCAACCAGGAGACCGCCACGGTCAGGCGGCCCAACGCCGAACGGTACACCGCGGCCGGTGCACCGGTGCACCGGCTATCAATGCGGACAGGCGTGCAAGATAGTGTGCGAAGACATTATTAACGGCCTAGTTTTGAAAATAATCGCTAGGCTACATGTATTTCTGAGTTTGTCCATTATGGCAGTACATATCAGTCAGGAACGCGCGCTAGAGATGTTGGGGGACGCAGGGCTTGGCAGCACTAAGACGGCTATCATTCATCCGCTATTTGAATAACGAATCTATCGAAGCTTGTGTTGGACAGGTTCTATTATTTTGACATTTCCCGAAACCTATAATTAACATATTCAACGACCAAAAGCTTCAGTATGTAAACATATTCGAAATCATAATATATCACTCGACTGCCAAGACAGCTCCAGATCTGCAATATCAATGATCGTCAGAGCAAGAATTTGGTTCTACCCTCTCGCCAGTCTCTCTATTTCTCTTCTTTTCACTGACCAAACGTAGAATCAACTTCTCCAATCTAAAATTCGTGATATGCATCATCAACACTCAAACAAAACTTGAGGCTATGCACGTATATATATATATATATAAAACCGATGTGTGATGTTGACACAAGTCCAGACCGGGGCGAGTCATAGGCCTAGGATCCTAGGAATGATACTTGTAATACCAGGATTATGAAGAATATAAATGTAATTTCTAGCCTCCGTTGAAGTCTTGAATGAAGATCAATGAGACCAAATTCTGGATTAATGAATTAAACAAAAAAAAAAAATTTCTGGATGCAATTTATCTCCGAGTGATTACCTATGATGACAATTATCGTCCTAGACATGGTGTATTATAATTTCTAAGATATTTCGGCACCTAAAAATTAAATCGATGAGAATTCCGTATTATATAGTATCTATGCAATCTTTTTGATGTTTGAGCGGTGTTTTTATTGACACTAATAGAATATGCGGGCACGTGTTTACTAACCTAAACTATATACATGTAGGCACGGAAGACTTTATTTAAGTCTGCATCGCGATTTAGAATAAAGTTTGTGCTACTTCTCAAACCTTCTTGCTTGGGAATAAGAGGTTTTTTTATGTTTCGCTTGGGCCCGTTTGTTCTTAAGAAATCCTTTGCTATCAATAATCTGTGTTGATCACGAGATTCTAGCTAAATCTTGTATAGATTAAACGAGTAATTATAGTTTATTTAGTGACCTCTTGGGGCAGGGGTGTTGGTATGGTGAAGAGAGATGCTAAACAAGGCCTTAGGAGTGGCAGAAATTCACAATCGTGAGGTGAAAACTGCTAGTGTAGCCTGTTGATACCTAGTCTATGTCTTTCAATTCGTCCAGTTAACCACCATTACTGAAAACTAGTTCAGGTATACACACCCAACTAGTATCAACCTAGCTTCGAACAGAACCTTAGCCAAAACTACAGTAAAACATCAGAATTTGAACGGCCAAGCGGTAAACACTTGAGTTTGCTTTACAAAAACCGTTTGCCTTGGCCCAACCCCAGTATAGACATTAAACTAGCAAAAAGATGTACCTTAACCAAGAACTCTTCCGTGTCTTTTGAATGAGTGAAGTTTATTAAAAGTGTACGGTTGTTATAACGCATACAAATTCCGACCCTCGCTATTGAGAGTTGGCTACCCAGCGCAGAAGGTTAACGTCATAGCTGGTATATATAAAGTATCGATGGGATAAGCCTAGTAGGCCTATAGATCTATTGAAAGCAATTATGCGATACAAGACCCATCCTGTCGTACCAAAAATGGCTCTCGGTTTCTAGATCTTCTCCAGTTGAGGGTTTAGTTAGAGAAATGATTAAACGGTCAAATTTGACCTGATCGGCTGGTAGAATAAATGGTCACCTTTGATGCACGTGGGAGTTTTATATAGGCGTGACAGATATATCTATCAATATCATAATATTAGTAGATTTCAAGACAATTATTACTCCACAATTCCGTTCCTCCTAATGAAGATTGTGATTTGAAACACACCCTAGCCTGAAAGACCTAAACTATAAACCAATGCGATAAGTAGGACGAATATGGAAGATGACGCTCTAGGGCCAGCAAACACCACCCCTGCAAATAAAAACGGCCCGGAACAAATATTATTTCTATGCAACATCTGACGAGAGTTCGATACGTGCCATGGCAGAAGCTAATTACTGAAGTTAGTATTCAATTATCAATCTCGGTGAAAATAACGCACGTCGTCTCACGGTCACACCGGGGGTGTCCTTATACAGTAATGGCTATTGCATTGTGCTTGTAATTGCAACAAATAAGCGCAAATCGCCGCTATGCAGGCCCTATCATGACAGCCCGTGCCACTCGAATGCACAGATATATGTATGCAATTGAGTAGAACCCTGAGGTATAAGGCGGGAAACTACACAAAGCTATCATAGGCCATTATTGGCTGTATCTACCCTGTTGGGAGCTTTGTATCCATGTAGCCAGTACTCAGGTTACACTGACTTCTCCAGCGGCGCGGTAAGGATGATAATATATGTATGACATCCTGAGCGATCCGACCCGACACAGCCCGACACCCATCACCTCTGTGGATCCTATTCAAAGTTGTTCGCTGTTGTGTGCTCGTAAGCGTTCAAGAAAGGTAGCGATATAAGGTCGTGCGGTGTGTAAATTGGTTGTAAGCGGAGATATGCTACTTTGACAGCACACCCTTGTTCCGATCAACGAGTTACTCAACAGCTTGCATAAACTCTATTTTAACCCCATCCCAGGCACAATTTCATGAGGGATGTGGCGGCTAATGTATTGATTGGTGTGTCGAATTGAGCGTCTGTGCCAATTGATTTCAGTTAAACATCTGGCTAAGTTATTCTGCTTACTGTCAGGATTTCAGGACTTGAACGGCGGGGAACTAAGTTGCCTTGCCTCGCCTTGAATCCACATTTATACCGCCCTATCTGGGCGTTCGAGTGGAGTTCTGAGCCCAGATTAACTGTGGATCGTGCTTTGGAAAGTTGAGATATTCGGATTATGATGTGAGACTCTGTTGATACTTTGGAATGATGGTGGTTGTTGTAGGTAGCTGGCTGTTGTAAGTAGCCGGTTGTTGTAGCCGGTTTTTGTGTCTTGATATTAGAGTTTTCAGAACGCCGGACACAATCGTGCCAAGTGTGAGTGAAACCTAACACCAGTTATTCACAAACAATGATGGTAGATGGACTACCAACCTCATCGTTCATCAAATCTCCTCTGCACACGATTGCCTAGCTACAAACGTGGCAGGAATTGCCATTAGGGTGATTCGACAACTGCCAAGAGCGTGACTGAGTAGGAACAAGTGTACGCATACGTTGTAGTTATAGAGGGTACAAAGAATATTCCTCTTACTCTACCACTTTCATCCTCTCGCTCTGTGTATCACTTTTATCCTTTATACCCTCTTCAGGGGCATGCTGGTGTCTCCAAGTATTCAACTGTGAATCTATCGGCGCGATCGTCCAAACAAGGGGGGAATATGTAATTGACAAAAGGAAAGCTAGTCTATGCTCCTTTGAGTTGTAGGTATCTCGCTCAATCCAGATGAACTGTAGAGCAGACCAGGTTCTAATCTCAATTACAGCCGATCAAGCTCCCACGTGGACGATTCATGCTCGTTGCCATTACTCTACAGCGCCAAATAAAAGAAATTCACAAAGACTATTGCTAACGAGCTAGAATGTTCTCCGAGAGACACCATTTCTCCCGGGCGACTACCATCAAGGCCAAATCAGTATTCTTGGCATAGCTCATGAAAGCCAGTAAGTCCTTGTCCCAGGTGTTGTATGTAGAGTGATCAAGGATAGCACACCATGCTATGCACCCACGGGAAGGAATTGCTTTTTCTCATACACCTACCCGTTAATATTCGTAACTCAGCTTCTCACGGCAGTTGTAGATATTGTACTTGTAGCTTTGCGCGCGCCCTTTTGAACTCAATTGATCATAAAATTCGATATGTTGGGTAACCTAGCCGTTCCCTTTCCGGATCCTGTGATTTACATTGTACA